AGAGAGAGAGAGAGAGAGAGCCTTCCCCCCAGAGCCCACCAGAGAGAGAGAGAGAGAGAGAGAGAGAGCCTTCCCCCCAGAGCCCTCCAGAGAGAGCGAGAGAGAGCCTTCCCCCAGAGCCCACCAGAGAGAGAGAGAGAGAGACTTCCCTTTGAGCTGGTGCCCTGAATTTAGAGGTCTAGCCTCCAAAACTTTGAAAGAATAAATGTCTGTTTATGAAAGCCACCCCTTGTGGTATTTCTGTTACAGGAGTACTGGAGAATTAGGACATCTAGAAGAATCACAGAACACGGGTGGCTCGTCTGTCTACTCCTAGCCCGAACCCTGGTGAGTCTTATGGATTGTAGCTCTCACCCTTTAGGATACAGAATTTAAACCATTTCACAACGACATTGCAGTCTGTCATGGATAAGACTCTGTCATCCCAAAATACTGAGTCAATTTGTCTGGGCTATGATTCTTAGAGACTCAGTAGTTATGTAATGATGTAATTTGACAGTCATGAGATGATGCAATTTGGAAGTATGTGATGATGAGATTTGGCAGTTATGTAATGATGTGATTTGACAGTTTGTAATGATGTAATTTGACAGTTACATAATGATGTAATCTGGCAGTTTTGCAATGATGTGATTTGGCAGTTACAGGATGGCATGATCTGGCAGTTACATAATAACACAATTTGGCAGTTATGTGATGACATGATCGGGAAGTTATTTAATTTGTAATTTGGCAGTTCTGCAATGATGTGATTTGGCAGTTATTCGATGTCATGATTTGGTATTTATAAATGATGTGATTTGGCAGTTACACAATAATGTAGTTTGGCAGTTATGTGATGATGTGATTTGACAGTTTTGTGCTGGCATGATTTGGCAGTTATAAATGATGTGATTTGGCAGTTATGTGATGACATAATCTGGCAGTTACATATTGATGTAATTTGGCAGTTACGTGATGACGAGATCTGGCAGTTATGTGATGACGTGTTCTGGAACTTACATAATAATGTAATTTCCCAGTTACATGATGATGTGATATGGCAGTTACATAATGATGCAATTTGACAGTTACATAACGATGCAATTTGGTAATTATATAATGATGTAATCTGGCAGTTATGAAATGATGTAATCTGGCAGTTATGGAATGATGCAATTTGGCAGTTATGTAATGATGTAATTTGGCAGTTACACAATGATGTAATTTAGCAGTTTTGTAACGATGTAATCAGCTAATCATGTATAAAGGGATCAGAATGGGATGTGATGGGATTGCTCAGCTCACAGCCCTGGTTCAATGGCAGGGGTGTTTCTATTGGGTGTTACTGGAATCGTCTTCTATGTTATAAGAGACGAAAGAGTTGATCCTCTGGATACAGGGTCCCTGCCTGAGAATCTCCTAGACCCAGGGAAAGACTGATGCCTCAACACATGGCTATCCCCAGAGAATACTGGCCCACAGATTTCTTTGAAAGGAGACAAAGACTTCCTCCAAAGTCCACACACAGAGAGAAAGCCAGAGCTCTGTATTCAGACTTCTACCCTCCTAAATTTTAGAGACTAAATTCCTGTTTGTTAAAACCTCCCCCTTGTGGTATTTCTGTTGTACCAGCAATAGAAAATGAAAATAGAATTCAGAGACCTGAATTGACATATTTTCTCTTGACACTAGCTTTGTTCAATTTTTTTGTGTATGTTCAGAAGCCTTGAAAATTTGGACTGTTTGTTTTGTATATGGTGTGAGACATGGATCCGGTTTGTTTAGTGTATGGTGTGAGGTACAGTTCCTGTTTGTTTTATATGTGGTGTGAGGTACAGGTCCTGTTTGTTTTATA